CGTTAACTCTGTCTTTTCCTTCACAGATGCTGCCAGACCTGCTGAGCTTTTCCAGCAACTTCTGTTTTTGTTCCAACAGATTCGAGGACAGCTTCTTCCCTGCTGTTATCAAACTTATGAATGGCCCTCTCGTATATTAGAGTTGATCTCTCTCTGCACCTTCTCTGTAGCTGTAACACTATATTCTGCACTCTGTTCTATTACTTATGTAAGATATGATTTGTCTGGGTAACATGCAATACAATTCTTTGTACTGTGTCTCAGTACATTCGACAATAACAAATCAAATCCAATCAATTGCTGCAACACTTAGTGAACAAACTAAATTGTGTTTAGGGCTGAGATCATTCGAATAACTTCATCTGTCAGGACTGTGAGGCGGGGAGACTGGCTTTGAATTGTGGAATTTGATGGATGTGTAGGAAAGGAGTCTGGTGTCCTGCAGCTTAGTAATTAGAATCGCAGAACTGGGGACCAATGATGACAAATTCACCAGCTTCCCCGTTGTGTATGGCAGTGCAGATAGCTGCATGACACAGCAGAAAAGCACTTAATCAATCAATCAGCCAGACAAATCTAGCCAGACACAATAGTATTAGTGTGTCTTTTGCACAACACTCTAATCAGAAGAGCAAGGCAATCCGAGCTGAAGTAAGTAATTAATTTAAATGATAAGTAAAGGTGTTTTTAGTTTCCTGAAGAATTTCAGATTTAAACAAATGAGGCAGAATGGGTTGGATTAGTCCCTATTTATTCTGAATGGGGTAGGGGCAGTTTAACCCAGTTTTAGCTGATATTCTGTGTTAAATACGTGACGCGAGAAGACCAGCAACTGTGCGTCTGTGCATTTGAAAACAGCACTTGAAAGCTGCACTGCGTATGAGACCAACCTATGGAGTTTGGTACAGAAGGTGTTAAAGTTTTGCCCCTTTCTTTCTGCAGATGATGGAGAGAGGATCTTCTTCAGTGGCAGACTGTAGAGGGAGTGCAGAAGCAGCAACTACCAAACACACTGAAGGTTCTATACTGAAGCAAGGAGAGCGTTGCATTAGGTACATTCACAGCCCTTGAGGCAAACAAATATGCCTGTCAAATTGCATATGAAAATAAGTTCCTGCTGCCATTAATGTTGTGCTATGTGTAGTACGATGTGTGTAAACACCATATATACTATATATGTGTGTGTATTATATATATATATGTGTGTGTGTGTGTTTATGTCCTGACATTATGGACTATACAGGTTATATAAGTATATAAATGCATATCAGTAATATTCCTGACATTATGGGCTGTACAGTATATTCCAAGGGAAATGTCAGACTTTGATTAAGGTTTCCATCTGAACTTAGCTAAATTTGCATCCACTCTGGACTTTCAATTGATATTTGAAATTAAGAACAGATTTTACTTCTGTGTAATCCAAACAAATGCTTTGTTTGCTCAACTTCAAGCAAACATACAGAGGTTGCAATGTCTGAACAGTATGTAATAAGGCAAGCTCTCTTTTCTGAGATTGCTTCAGACTGTTTCTTGAAGCTGCTATATTTTAAAACAAGTGTGCACTTTTGTGTTATTCATCGGCTTAACCTTCAAAAGTATATCAGGCCAACGTTTGCTGGGAATTGGCTTAATTAGATTTATTGTTGCAACATTCATACTGGAATCTGTCTTTGTGCTGTAGCTTACTGGAAACACAAGTTGGCTGCTGTATGGTGATGGCCACCTGACGTTTGGAACTCAGGTGACCAAAGGGATGGATAGTCTATATCAAAGGATTAAAGGTTAGGAAACTAACAGGAAAAGGGCTGACAATTGGAGTACATTAGTGTCACTCAGGTAGAGAAACAGGAAAAGAGAGGGGGAAGAAAAAGGACAGTAAAAGAAAAGACAAAAAAATTAAATAAAAGCACAAAAAGTGACATTTTCAAGATTTCCATGTTTCTAATTGTTCATTTTTTGATCAGCGAGATTGATTTACTGCCATTACCAGTTATTAAAGGACTTGATTTTCTATGATGAGTTTAATGACCAATTAATGTGCAAGTAAGACATGACTCACGGGGGTGGACTTACAGTGAGACATTCTTTTCAAGAGCTCTGCAAATTGGCCATCAACTCATGATGATTCGTGATTCACAGAATATATCACTCCCATCACAAATGGCATGTTATTGCAGTAAAATGTTTCCTTTTCATGTGAATTGTTCCCCTTAATGAGAGAGACAAAACATGAGAAGCTAGAATCAAAAACATCAGCACAGGGATGGATACCCGGAGTTGTATTTAGGGGTATCTGTGTACTGAACAAGTTCCTGGTGCTTGCACTTTGCTCAATGGACTCTGCAGTACAAAGAAAACCTCTCTAGGACCTGTGCAAGGGATGGCATTGGGCTGTGAAGATATGCAGCAAATGGCAACAAAGTGCCTCCATTTGCTTCAGATGGTTTTAGAACTTCAGAATGCCTGATCCCTCCGTGTCTAAAAATTCCCGGGGCTGAACCAAGTTTGTCGCCTTTGTGGGAGTGTTCACTGTCCCAGTGGAGCCCATGACTCTTGCTACAGGGACTGAAAGAGCAAAAGATTGGTTGGCCTGCCCTCCAGACAGATCTTTCTCCCGTTGAGTCGGGGAACTCTTCATCGCTCTGATTGATGAGGCCAGCCACCCTGTATTAATGCTGTGGGGCAGCTTTTTAAAAGGATAGTCAGTTTGTGATTGACTTCTCTAATGGCATCAGGGGAATGCGATACTTACAATGGACAATTACTGGAATGGAAAAAGATTGTTGGACTATGATGGGTGAGCAGTGGTGTAGCACTAATCAGACAGCCCTTCTGCAGAAAAACCAAGAAAGGGTCATTTGACCCGAAACGTTAACTCTGATTTCTTTCCCCAGATACTGCCAGGCCTGCTGAGCTTTTCCAGCAATTTCCATTTTAACACTCCTAAAGAGCTAGCACAGGCCTGGTAACCTGAATGGCCTCCAGTGCTATCGATTCTCAGTCAACCTGCCAAGATTTAGGCGTGGCCACACTGTCGCTTAATTTCCTTTTAATAAAACGTTAAGTACAATATTCAAATGCCAGTCATGGGCACATATTTTCCCATTCAGTTATTTCCTGTAAGTATTGATTTTCCCATTTATGAGTCACAGAGCCTCAATTATAGGCTAGGATCATGACGAACTATTCAATTGTTCTCTTGTGAAGCATTAACTGAGACTTCTGGGAACAATCTGATTCCCAGTGCCCACAGATAAATAAATTATGTACATTAGAGTGTTGAAGAAAATTGGCAATATATTTTTGAAGGTCTAAGCTTGCATGATGCATCACTTACTTCAGCTGGCTCACACTTAATGCCACTACAATAACTCTGTGCCACTACAAAGGAACACTGTTGCACTGCCTTTTACAACCCAGTGTCGGCCATTAGTTCATTCGTAACGACACAAACCAGGATTCAAACGTTTATTTGCAGTAATGGTGCTTAAGAATTGATCTTTCAGTGGCAGTGTGACCTGAACAATGAGAAAAACAGAATCTCACTTTTATGAATTAAATAGATGTTTGGATTGGATAGTTGAATGACATAGGAGTATCAGCTAACTGCAAAGAGAGGTCTACAGTTATACAACACATCATAATCTCGGGACATATCAAAATACTTTACAGCTGAGTAAATACTTTGGAAACAGTCATTGTAGGAAACATGGCAAATAATGTACAACAGGGTCAACTGGCAATGAGATAAATGACTGGATAATTTGCTTGTGATTCTACTTTACAAATTCATGGAATTTGGATGTCGCTGGCCAGTCAGCATTTATTGCCCATCCCTAGTTGCCTTCAAGATAAGGTGATGGTGAGTTTTCTATTTGAACCACTGCAGCTCATGTACTGTAGGTAGATCCTCAATGCCCTTGTGAAGGGAAATCCAGGATTTTGACCCAGTGACATTGAAGGGTTGGCAATATATTTCCAAGTCAGGATGGTGAATGACTTGGAAGGCAACTTGCAGGCAGTAGTATTCCCATGTCTCAGCTCCCCTTGTACTTGTAGATGGAAAAGGTCATAGGTTTGGACAGTGCTGTCTAAGGAGCCTTGGTGAATTTCTGCAGTGCATCTTGTCAATGATACACATTGCAGCGTCAGTGGTGGAGGTAGTGGATGTTTCTGGGTGTGGTGCCAATCATTTGGGCCACTTTGTCCTGGATAATGTCAAGCTTTTCAAGCTGTACTCATCCAGGTAAGTGGGGATTATTCCAACACAGTACTGACTTGTGCCTTGTAGATAGTGGACAGGCTCTGGGGAGTCAGGAGGTGAATTACTTATTGCACAGTTCTTAGTCTGTGGCCTACACTTGTCGTGACAGTATTTATCTGATGAATCCAATTCAGTTTCTGATCAGTGGAAACCCCAATTAATTGTTAGGAATTCAGTAATCCAGATGCCATTAAATATCAAAGGGATTGCTAGATATTGTCCAGATCTTGTTGCATTTGGACATGGACTGTTTCAGAATCTGAGGTATCGCAAATGGTGCTGACCGTTGTGCAATCATCAGTGAACATGCCCATTTCTGACATTATGATGGAGGACAGGTCATTGATGAAGATGCTGAAGATGGTTGAGCCTAGGATACTACCTTGAGGAACCCCTGCAGAGATGTCCTGGAGAAGAGATGACTGACCTTCAATAACTGTACCATCTTCCTAAGTGCCAGGAATGACTCCAGCCAGCAGAGAGTTTTCCCCTGATTCCCACCGACTCTAGTTTTGCCAAGTTTCCTTGATGCCACGCTTGGACAAAAGTAGCCTTGATGTCAAGACTGTCACTCTCACCTCACCTCTGGAATTCAGCTCTTTTGTCCATGTTTGAACCAAGGCTGTAATGAGATCAGGAGCTGAGTGGCCCTGGCGGGACCCAAACTGGGCGTCATTGAGCAGGTTATTTCTGAGCAGGTGCTGCTTGATAGCACTGTTAGTGACACTTTCCATCACTTTACTGATGATCAAGAGTAGACTGAGGGGGCGGTAATTGGCCAGTTTGGATTTGTCCTGCTTTTTGTTTACAGTTGGCAGCTGGGCAATTTTCCGCATTGTTTGTAAAAAAAACAGAAGCGGACGATCTAGTAATATGCCTCATTGTAACTTGACCATTCTATTATCTACCATGTTTCCTACATCTATAACAATAGCTACACTTCAAAAGTAGTTTCAGAGATAGTAGGAACTGCAGATGCTGGAGAATCTGAGATATTTCTGAAGAATGGTCTAGGTCCAAAACGTCAGCCTTCCTGCTCCTCTGCTGCTTGGCCTGCTGTGTTCATCCAGCTCTACACCTTGTTATCACACTTCAAAAGTACTTAGGATGGCACGGTGGCTCAGTGGTGAGCACTGCTGCCTCACAGCGCCAGGGACCCAGGTTCAAGTACACCCTCAGGTGACTGTCCATCTGGAGTTTGCACATTCTCCCTGTGTCTGCATGGGTTTCCTCCCACAGGCCCAATAATGTGCAGGTTAGGTGGATTGGCCATGCTAAATTGGCCATAGTTTCCAGAGATGTGCAGACTAGGTGGATTAGCCACGGGAAATGCAGGGTTATGGGTCTGGGTGCGATGCTGTTTGGAGGGTCAGTGCAGACTCTATGGGCTTAATGGCCTCTATCTGCATTGTAGGGATTCTATGATTCTACTTAATTGCAAAAGATCAAGTTTCAATGACTGGATAATCTGCTTGTGATGTCGGTTGAGGAATAAATATTGCCCACACCACCATGGGGAACTGCTCTGCTGTTCTTCAACGTGGTTTCCTGTGTTATTTACACCCACTTCAAAATGATAATGGGGCCCTTTCTGAAAGATAGCAGCTCTGACACAGTGGTATTTGCACAGTATTGTACTGGACCATCGAACCAGGTAATGAGGTCAAATCATAGATCATAGATCATAGAGCAGTACAGCGTACAGGCCCTTCAGCCCACAATGTTGCGCCGAACTTTTACACTAAACCTAAGGTCTATCTAACCTCCACCCCTACCTTATACTAT